CTCTTGTTCTTTATCTTTAATCCCCTCTGAAATCAAGGGGCAGCTTGATTGCACCAAAATGCATCACCACATGCCCCTTGGTATCACCACGCTGCCAACATCATTGTTGGTAAGAATCCACCAGCTCTAATGTGCCAGGCTCCCATCAAAAGGGGCTTTGGGAGGAAGATGCCATGTGTTTCCTTTAAACTACAATAAAGCAAAGCAGTTCAAAGAGTTGGAAAAGGAGGTTAACAATCTCTTTGAAATGTAGGTTCAAATTCCCAGCACAGCCCCAGTCAATTATCAGAAGCGCTGTGACACATCTACTGCTAACAAGGAAGAGGAGGGAGGGAAGCCTGTGGGGCAGAGGTCCTGATGGGCAGTGACAGGGGTTAGAGGACATCACCACGGTGGTGGGAAAGTTTCCAGGGGCAAGACTTAGGTGTTTTTTTTCAGGTTGATTCACTCCCCTGCTGTGCACCCAGAGTGAAGGCTGGGCCACTGGACTGAATGGAGCCGGGAGGGAGGCAGCACATTCCCCTGCTTGAACCCCCTTGCACCCGACAAGGCTTTTTTGAGGGATGTGCAGGCACAACAGCACAGCGGGCTGCTGCTTTCTCTGGGGTGTTCCTCTGTGGCAGCATGAACCACTTTTATTTTAATCCCATTAATGAAAGGCAGCGCAGGGGTGGGGATGGGGCAGGAGGGGGGAGGGTTTGTTTTGGCGCTGAGGATGGGTGCACACAGGCATACAAATGCTAGGAGACAAAGGCTGTGATTAAGGGCTGGTACTCCAACTCCCTGCTTATTACAGGAAAGGATTTATCTGATGGCCTAGTTTCAGCTCCAGTTTTCCACCTTTTAATCAGGTTCCCAGGTCTGCTTGTCCACTCATAAAAGGAAGGAAGAGGAAATCTCGGGGTGATGGAGCAGGAATAATGCTCTATAAACATGCATGGGGCAGAGGGTTTTGCTGCCCCAAACTTTCCCAGGAGGCAGACTCCTGGGCAGGCAGAAGGATTATGCCCAGCCATGCAGCATTATTTTCTGGCATAGCAAGAGAGCATCCATGCTTTCCTGCCTGACCAAGCCAGGGTTGTGTGAAACAAACGTGCTGGAAATAAAAACCTCCTGCAAAATGGAAAATGTACAGAGGAGCAGCTATTTTTAAAAGAGACAGCACCTACTGCTGTTATGAAGTCAGTCACATAATCAGTTAGCAAGGGACTTCTGTGGACTGACAACTGACAGCCAGGAGAAACAGCTCCAGCAGACTGATGAGAAGAAAATGAGTTTTTGGCTTCTACAAGATGTGTGTTTTCTAATGAAGAGAAGAATTTCTGTCCTGCGCTGCCCTGGGCACAAGGTGGATGGGGGTAATTGACCCTCAATGTCTTTCCCAATGTGCTGGAAAGAGGAGTGAGCTGCTACTAACTCTCCAGAAGACAACACTGCAAGCAAATACTAGCTCAGCCACCTCTTGCCCCTCCCTAACCCAGCCTGTCCTTATTGCCCAGCATTTGCTGAGGTTTTCCTGCTTCTAAAAATGTTCAGCCTCTAATTAAAATGCCCATCTTGCTTGCCAGGGCAAACATATCTGGCCACAGTGCTGAGTTGGTTCTGGAGACAGCCAAAACTTGCAGCTAACCAACCTGTCTGGCTTTCCTGGCATGGGTGGCTTTCCTGGCATGGGTGGCTGGTTTATGTCTGACACTAGGTGCCCATCACACCATTTTATCAAGCTGACAGCAGCTTCAGGAAGCTGGCATGAGGGCCTCCTCAGCTTATCCAACTCTGAAGCCACCATGTGACTTTCCTCCTCTGTGGGGTCATTAGTACTGTTTCAGATGTTCATACCCCATTGGTGAAGAGGGAACATACCTGGGCAATGTGGAGGTTCATGTTGCTGAGGGAGGCTCACATGCTTCTTCCCATTCAAAGGACTTTGGAAAGGGTATTTAAATAACAATTGAAATAATGTTTTAATTAACAACAATTAAAATAATATTTTAATTAACAATAATAGAAGTAATTAACTAATTTATTAAATATTGAATAAAAATCACTAGAGAAATAAGATATTAAGGCAAGGCCCCAAAGGAGTACTGGGAGGGACAAGGAGCATCATATATGTGGGGCATTCACAACAAGGTAGGAAAATACAGCTTCAGACCCATGGGTCCGAGGACAGTGTGCCTCCTCAGGAAAGGAAGACATTCTCCACTGCTCTGACTGAGCCCACACCCCAGGGCAGAATGGATTCCATCCAAAAGGAGGGAGGTCTAATGGTCACAGCCTTATGGTCAACAGCAGAGGAGCTGTCATCTCTAATGGTTGGTGGTGGCTTTTCCCTACAATCCATAATAGTTCTATGAGCAATATCTGGCCTCTTCTGGTGATTTCACCCCCTAGGTTATAGTCTGACTGTACCTTGTATGTCATCCTGGACGACAGTGCAGTTTGAGGAAGCAGATGAAGAACTAACAGCTTCTTCCAGGCAGCCTGCAGCTCTGCCTGCCTGGCTGGAAGATGCAGTTCTTCCTTCAGGCTTGGAAGGAACAGGAACGCTGCAGCTACACAGAGGTAGTTTACTCAGTGAGTCTCTGCTTGCACCACTTTTATACACAGCATCAAGAAGTACTTAAAATTAAATTTACTATTTAAGAGCAGGAAGGCCCCTCCAGAGAGGTTTCTATTTATTCTTTAGGTACAATGGCTTTGCATGCCCTTAGCCCTCCATGCAGCAGCCCCCACTCCTCAGAGAGCGCTGCTGAGACTGGATCATGTGTATCTCACTGCTGAAAGCTCTGCAGTCTGGCAGTCTGCTACTTTCTGTGCCATGGCATCGCTTCTGCACCCATTTGATCCCTTCCACACACACAGAACCATAGAATCCTTAAGTTTGGAAAAGACCTCTAAGATCATGGAGTCCAACCATTAATGCAACACTGCCAAGTCCACCACTAAACCATGTCCCTAAGCGCTACATCCACATGTTTTTTAACACTTCCAGGGACTTGTGTGTGGCCTCTCCCCACATCACCCATGCTACAAATCCAGCCTTTCTACACTAGCAGACCATGTCCCAGATTGGCTAAATCCACGAAGAGGTCTCCACTATTTCTTACAACCTTTGGAGCAGATCCTGGAGCAGGGAATTTGTGTGACATACTCTTGCGCTGCTTCATTGCCATGCGTTCCTAATTTCCTTCAAGTCAACCAGTGAAGATCTCAAGCCTTTTTGCCAGTGAAGAGCACGGTGAGCCAAACGCAGTGGGACAAATCCTGCCCCCAGTTTGGAGATGCAAAACCCATGACAGTGATGAGGATAAGCAAAGCAGGGAGATAAGCTGTATTGCACTTCAGACTCAGTGACAGCTGTCACCCTCCCACCACTAAAGCAATAAATCTGGGGGATCTGGGTTTATTCTCCTCCAAACCACTTTATTATATTGTGAGTAATCACAAAGTCTTACAATGCTGCAGAGGTTCTTTAAAAAAACAAAGTTACACAGCGACAGTATTTGCCAGCTTTTGCTAAGACTAGTTTAGCTAGCAGCTAGCGTGAGATTATACAAGGAAATCTTGCAGTCTTCAATTGGATTGTCACATTGAGTTTTAAATTTACCACAGCACTGAAAAGACAGTAACTTTGACAGTAGGTGATACCCCTAATGTTTCATCTATGTACAGACTTAAAAAATTAAACAATTTTCTCTTTTTAAAAAAATACATTTTCTGCCAGCAGAAAAGAATTATCTTAAAAAGGCAAGATCAACTAAAAAAACCCACTTCTTTCATCACAAACTGCCCCCATCTTGCAGTGCAGTTGGTTGCTGTTCCCTTCAAGATCTCTGCCAATAAGCAGTCCCATTGCCTTTTTAAGAAAATCAATGTGTTTTCTCTGACTGTGAATGCTGGTTGAGCATTGCTAAGGCTCAGTAGAGGGGTAAAAGCCCCAACACTGAAGGAAGGGATAAAAATCCCACCCTAAGGTCTCCAAACAAATTATTAAAATGGACATAGGTGGAAATGTGAGAGACAGATTTCAGTATCCAAAGTGAGGCGTTGACTCTGACTTTTGTGGAGTCAGTGGGTTTCAACCATCCCTGAAGTCAGCTGCTTTGAGCAACAGAGTTTCCATTTGCAAAGACCATTGGGCGTGTGAGGATGAAACCTGAGCTTCTTCCAACACTCCAAAGGATACTTGTGAGATGGGTTTATATCTGCATCACCTTTACATCCATCTCCCTGTATCAGTTTCAAACATTGATACAAGGCTGGGTTTACAGATCAAACTGCAGGTCAGTTCTAGCAGGACCCCATTCACAACACCCCATCCCCCAGGACAGAGCATGCCAGATGTGGACCAGACCTCAGCAGTCACATCCATTGCTGCTATTAGCAAGTTGAAGGCTTCACGCATGGCATTTAGTCATCATGAGCTGCCTTCTCCCACTTCCTCCTAGCCTGGAGGAGAAGAAGGTCCACAGGGACTCCCCTTTTCTTTGCCAGCATTTCAACAGTGGAGTAAAAAATGATCAAATCTTTGAGGACCAGGATTTTTATCAGATTTTGGTTGTCAGCCAAGTAGTTGTGTGAGAGAAAGAAAAGCCACAACTCTGGAAAAAAACCCCAAGATCTTTTCTCTGATAAGCAAAGTGCTCCACGGTCACTGACATCAGTGCTAATTCTTCCCCTGGCACATTCTCAAGAGCGTTTTGGTGCTGGAAGTTGCCTCACATATGCCCAGATGAGTAGCAGATGTGGTGTTCAGATAGGGAATGTCAGCATGGAAATAACTTACTCTCGTATCCTCTAGGTCTGCATCTTGGTTTGATAAGGTTGTCAAGACAAGAATCCCTGTCAAAGTTTCCTTCCTTCCAAGCTTTCCCAGAAAGGGAGGAGGGATTTTTTTTCTTTTTTTTCTAAAATAGGCTACCTGATCTCTTCCCTTTGCAACCTCCTTCACTGAAGGCTGGTTCCTGGATGAGATATGGCTGTTGGCAGACCCCTCTGCTGCACATAATTTCTGAGCAATGGCTTGCTGAGGTTAAAAAGACAAGAGGTTGCCAAAGCTGAAACTAATTTAATTAGACATGAAAAGGATAAGGATGGAAAAACAGGGAGAAACTTGTGGGAAAAGTCCTTGACTTAGGTTTTGTTGCACACCTATGCAAATAACATGTAAAACCCAGCACATTAGGAGCACCCTGTGTTCAGCTTTGTCTGGAAATGTTTCTTCAAGACTGAAAGTGCATGACAAAGAACAGGGTGCTGCTAATGAGGGCAACATCCAGAAGGCACATTTTGGGGAGTAATAATTAAAAAAAGGATGATGCATGGGTTTGTAAGTAAGCAGCTACAGAGTTGGTACATTTTGGTGTGTGCTTTGGAGAGATGTAGCTTTGCTCCTACAAACATGTCTGAGGCATGAAGGTTTGCTCTAGGCTGATTGTTCTACTATGGGACCTGCAGAGCAGCTTGGCCCCCATTGTCCAGCATCACTGCTCTTGGCCAACATGATGAGTGCAGGACCAAAATGCACCAGGTAAAGTTTGGAGCCTGCAGATAACGTGGGCCAAGATTTGAGAGTTTATAAAATGCACAATCAACTAACTATTGGCATATACAAATATATAAATTATTGACAGTTTTACAAAAGGCACACTGCAAGCCATCTCAGTCTGACACCTGTACAAATTCCATGGCCCTCCACCCTCCCTGTCCCACCCCTTCTTCTCCTCAGCTTTCATCACGAAACATAAGGTACTGCTGCTATGGACCCATGGCTGTCATGGCAACTGAGGACTTCTTTTTTAGTCAGCCCAATTTGTCGGTGGTACTGTCCTTCTTTGATAGTCTTAAGACACTGTATGTTCTTCCCCAAGGTGATGCTTTTGATGGAAGGCAGATATTTCAGCACAGTCTTTGGCAAGGATGACACACCTGTCCCAGAGAGGTTGAGCTCTTGTAGGGAGTTCAGACCAAAGATAACTTCAGCAGTCAGTGAACTCAAGTTGGGATTGTTGGATAAATCCAGAACTTGAAGGGCTGAGAGTTCCTTGAAGCTATGAGGAGATAACTCTTGAAAGCCACGCAGGCCACTGAGGGATAAATGAATCAAATCTTTCAGCCCTGTGAAGTCTCCTTTCTCAACCTTAACTAGAGGGTTCCCATCAAGATTTAAATATCGGAGAGGAATGCCTTGAAGGTTTGGCACAAATGTTAGCCTGTTTCCAGAAAGATTTAAATTCTGGATGTTGGGGATACTCTTTTTATGGTGCCTTGTAATTGTGCTGAGCTTATTATTGGATAGATCCACATTCAGGGATTTTCCTTGACCTTTTGATGCAAAAATATCCATAGCTATATCCAAGAGCTTGTTATTGCTCAAATCTATGTCACCTAGAGGAGAACTGGAGAAACAGTCTTCTGGAAGGACTTCCAAAGAGTTATGACTCAGATCTAAGGACTCCAGGTACCGAAGCCTGGAGAAGGTTGTGGAGGAAATCTTGGCAATTTTGTTGTAGCTCAGGTCAAGACTCACCAGTGTGGTGTATCCAGGGCCCGTAAGCATTGATTCATTTATTGTTTCCAGTTTGTTTGATGATAGATCCAAGTAGGAGGTATCCAGAGGTATTGGGACAGGAACAATATGTGAGCCTATTCCACTGCAGTCCACCTTGGTCAAGCTAAAGCTGTCAAAGAGACCAAAGGTTTCCACTTCACAGTGGCAGCCGGGGAAGCAGGTTTTGGTCATACCAAAACAAGGAAGGAGAAGCAGCAAATTGAACCAGGCCAGGAACTGCATTGTACCTGGAAAATAAGACAATAAGAAAACAGATTAATTATGTAGAAATTACTTTATGGAAGATGTGTAACTCTTTGAGCTATGCATTCTTCTCCTCTTTCTTTCCAAAGGAATAGGTTAAGAATACCCTTAAATAGCATGGATATCCCAAACACCCCAGTGGGAACTTAATGGAGAAAACAAATTGGGTCAACATATCTTTGCACATATAACCAAGTTAAGACAAAAGTGGAAATGAGCTGCAAGAACAGTAGGCTGCCTTAAAGCACAATCTATCCAACATGCATCCTTTTGACAGGACCATGGAAGAAGCTAAATAACAGCTCAAACACTGAGTCATTTTACGATCTGGAAAACTTCAGCAAACAAAGGTCTTCATGTCAGAGCATCCCTGTGAGATTTGGGAGCACCGAATTCAAGACCCTGAATTGACAGGTTGGAGAAATCATTTAGACTGTGGGAGTCTTAGGTGTCCAAAAACCTTATCAGAAGAGGAAAAAGCAAAGTTCCATTCAAATTTTCTGTAGGGAATAGAGATAATGGCATCATCAAAACAACATCTGGGATGAACAGCTAAAAAGGCCACCTGCTTACTGCCCAAATGGACACAATGTCTCCCTTGGTTAGACTTCAGATGCAAATTTATAAGTTTTTAGATAGGTACAATCATGGCTTTCTATTAGGTGGCTAAAAACAACCCTCCTTGGGCTGGTGGCAGTAGGACCGACAACAGCCCCTTGGCTCCTCACCTAGCAGAGCAGAGGAACTGAGGGTTGCTCAGTATAACCCAGACTTTGCTGTGGTGGGCTCAGCCTCCTGCACAGTGGAGAGAGACAATTTGCTTCATATAGAGCCTCTGGGGAGCCTTTGCTAATTACAATAAGTATTCTCTCTGATTAACAATGCCAGCAAGCAAGAAGCTCTCTCCACCCCTCTGGTTTTGACCCTCCTCCATCCAAAACATTTCTGTCCCTCCACCATCACAGACAATGGAGGTAGAGAGCTGATCTGCACCTCTCCTGCTCTGCTGGACATCTTCAGATCCCATCCTAACAGCTCCTTCACACAACTGTGGGCAACAGCAGCTGTATGATTTCAAGAGACAGCCAAAAAAGCTTTCGCTCTGCATTTCTGGAGAAGGTAAATTGGAGCATGCCAGCATCCTGAAGGTCAGCAGTGGCAGCAAGGACTGTCCTTACTGGTTCCCATTGCAGTCATGGGTGATGACTCCTCACGCCTTACAAACAAGGTCTCCAGGAGACCAGCAACAAAAAATCCCACCAAACCAGGCGAGCAGATCCGTCAGCATCAGTCCTTGGCTATGCTGCTGGCCATAAACAGACAATCATGTGTCAAGCACTTATTTAACAAGAAAAAATTAAAAAACGCCCCTTTAAATGCATGTTCCCATCATTACTTCAGCCTCTCTGGTCTCTATTCTCACCTTTCCCACCACTCTTTAAAAGCACTTCATTAACTTCCTTGCAGTATCATCTTTCCCACACACTCTTTGATCTGGCTGAGGTACCTTCCCCATAACCCTTGCACGTTCCCAAGACCATTTCCTAGAAATTCACACTTCATCTTCCCTCACCCACCCCTTGGCATCAGTTTCTCTCCCTCTTCAGCGTGATCTTCTTGGCTCTCATTCCTAGGAGACTGACTGGAGACTACTTGCCAATATGCAAAAGAAATGCAAAGGGGAAAAAATACTGCAGAAATATTGTCCTGACCACTGATATGAGTTGTCTGGCAGTGTCTCCCAGACCTCCTGCAAATAGAGAACAGAGATTGGGACTCTGGCCAAATTGCCTGCAACCAAACCACTGCTAAAGGCCAGCACGTAATCCTCTGGAGTCCATTATTCTACAGAAACAACAGAAAATCCATAAGATGAGCCCTAGTCTCAGCCCATCTCAAGTGTTTCTTGAGAAAACACGTATGTGTGCAGAGGGGACACAGTGGGTAGAGCTCTTTTCTGCAGACATGTTTCCAGATATCCCTTTCCTAATGACATTAAGGTTGATCCCCTCTGGTTCTGCACAGAGACATAGCTTGCTCTCTTCTGCAGTCCCTCCTAAAACAAATACTACTCTTTTTCTTTTTTCATGAAGCTGCATTTGGAGTGCATTGAAATGTTTTGTTACCAGGGAAAGTTACAGCAGTGGGGAGCTCCTTGTAAACTAAAACTGCAAAAACTCAAATGTTAAATGACTCACGGGAAGTACCTGCATTAGTGTCAGCTCAGCCTGCTGGTATTTCTTCTCCCAGATTTCACCCAGTGGCTATTCCTCCTTGATGTCTCAACACGGAAAGTACCTCCCAACTTCTTCAAAAGCCCAGCTCATTTCCTCATGGCATTGTTTTAGCTCTGATGGGAGCTGAATCACATACCAGCAAGTCCAAAGACAGACCAGTGTGATATTTGACTTTCCGAGTGCTGCTAAGGCCTTCATAATCTCCTACTGGGGCATTTGAAGAAAGAGGACAATCTCCAAAGTCCTAGCTTAACTGGGAACAGACTTTTTAATAGAGCCTGTAGTGATAGGACAAAGGGCGCTGGTTTTAAACTAGAACAGGGATGACTCAGACTAGATGTAAGTAAGAAATCTTTTTTGATGAGTGTGGTAAAAAATTGGCACTGGTTGCCCAGAAGGGTGCTAGATGCCCCATTCCTGCAAACATTCTAGGTCAGGTTGGATGGGGCTCTGAGCAACCTGATCTAGTTGAAGATGTCCATGCATATTGTGGGGGAGGTGGAGTGGATGGCTTTTAAATGGTCCCTTCCAAACCAAACTATTCTATGATTCTATGAACTGAGACAAGAATCAAAACCAGTGCTGGGCTTCGATATGTGGCTGCTCAAACCCCTTTTGACATGGGAATTCCCTTCCTGATCAGCCTCAAAAATGATTGCCAGAAGTGGGCAGATACAGTGACTCCCACTGCAACATTCATCACTCCAACCAGCAGCAAAGATAAAACCTTACACAGCTGAAATGCAGTACACAAAGCTCAGCTGAGGTATTTGCATAGCATATATTGCCTCTTCCCTCCTCACAGCGCTTCCACAAATTCTCCCTTTCTGGCTCTGCAATTGCTTTGCAGATGGGATACAATCCATTACTACCAGTTAAAAACTCCCTTATGGAGCAGTAAGAAGCATTCACAGGCTAACATGCCACTTGGTTAATAGCACTGATGAAAGATAGGAGAAATAGTTACTGGTCATCTTCCAATCCAAGAAAGAGACTCCTGCATTGCCAGATAATCAACAAAGACCTTAGTCAGGTACAGGCATGCTTTATCATTGTGTGGAGCAATCGATAGCTCTCTTTGAAATGGGGAAAGAAACATGCCCCAGGCATTTACAGTTCATCCGTGTACAGTGTGCATTTGAAATTACATCAAATTGCCTTTGGATTGCTGCCTACCAGCTGCTTTGTTGATAAAGGCAGGAAGCCAAGGTATCCCCTTGTAAAAGAAAGAGGAGTTATCCTCTTGCAGCACTGGGGAGCTTCATCTGGGGGAAACACCCTGGACCAGAAACCACCAGCAGCATCACTTGGAATAGTGAGGGGAAAGTCACTGGGACAAAGCAGCCCACCCTGGGGCTGGTTCAGCGATGACATCTTCATTTCTATGGCTGTTGAGGTGTGCAGAGATCCCAGTGATAAGTTTTGGCCACCTAACAGGCCTAGGGGACTTGTTAAACCCACTGATTTCAATAGAAGCTGCGGGGGGTGCAACATCGCCCCCCATGTTTCTGGTGCCCATAGTGGCTGCAGGGCTCTGATTTTTATAACTTGCTCGTCCTTTCTGCATGGCAAATGCTCTGAGACAACCTCAAGGAACCAGTGGTGGTTAATGGAGCCAATGTTGGATCAAGTTCCTAGCAGGGTTCTAGCCTTCTCCCCAATCCCACATCTCTCCTTGAGCCTGCAGATGCCTTGATACCTTATCCCTGCTATGCTGATCCACTGCAACATTGTGTGGCAGGACCCATACAGAAAACTCACACTGAGATTTCCGTGCCAAAAAGCCTCCAGTATTAAAATCTGATTTTAAAACCAGACTGCAGAGGAATCCCAGGTCTTAGCTGATGGTGGAGAAAGGTGGAAGAGAGGAAAGCCTTGTTCCTTGTGTTGTTGGAAATTAATGTTTCTTATTACACTTGACTTCCTCCTTCTCCTCTCCCTTAAAGACTTTTCTCATTAGGGAGATGAGCTAACGCCTCCCTCCCTGGATGAAAACCCATTGCTTGGGGACTGGTCCCCCTCATTGGGAATGCAGATATTTGGGCTATCTCCAGTTGCCCTGGCAACCACCAAGTTGGAATTCCCTATAGCCAAAATTCAAGGAATAATTAAAAAATTATACAAGGGGAGGTGTTTTAAAGTTTGTTGTTTGATGGTGTAGGGACACAGTTGCCTCATTCTTCATTCTGCACCCCTCAGCCTCCCTGAACATGCGCCTCAGCAAAGTGTCACAGCTGGAATTGGGGCTGAAGACCCAAAATCACCCAGTGAAGCTTGAGGTATATGAGTAAGAAGTGCAAAAACACCAAGTTCTCTCTACGGTGGGGCAAAGAGAAAGGAATTGCTCTAGAAGGGGATGAAACCTACCTAAGACCAGACACATTCTTGAAGATACCCTCTATCCCTTGTCCATGGCAGAATAGGATGCCCAGTCTTCCTTGTTACTGCTTCCCACCCCATTCTTGGCTGCATCTTCCAAAGCCAAGTTCCACACGATAACCAGGTGCACTGGGATGAACTAGATCAGCTCACTCATCCAGCAAAAAACCCCTAAGCTTCCTCTTTCCCCTCTGCTGGGTCAGCATTTCAACAAATCAGGGTGATCAGCCACAGGGATACCAGCTTTGACACAGGAGTGAGAAAAACAGGATCTGTCTTTTCCATGGCAGCCTACAGTTAGAGCAGATCAGAAATGACATGAATCTATAAGGCATGGTGGACAGATTCTGGTAATTTCCAAGGTTTTT